CCAAGATTGCTATCACTTCATCCAACAGATCCTACCAAAAACTGGATATTGCCTGATCCCTGATTTTCATCCGTGTTTGGGGTCTGTGTCCATCCCAGGAATTGGAGTCCCAGTGAATTCCTGGAATTATTGTGGGTCAGTATCTGTTTGATCCCAGATTTGGATTTGTGTTTGGGGCTCTGTGACCATGCAGGAATTGCAGGTTGGAATCCCACTGAATCCATAAATTATTGTGGTCAGGACCTGCCTGATCCCAGATTTTGATTCATGTTTGGGGACCATCTGGGAATTTCAGGTTGGAATCCCACTAAATTCATCAATTAGTGTGGTCAGGACCTGCCTGATCCCAGATTTTGATTTGTGTTTATGGTTCTGTGACCATGCAGGAATTGCAGGTTGGAGTCCCACTGAATTCCTGGAATTATTGTGGGTCAGTATCTGTTTGATCCCAGATTTGGATTTGTGTTTGGGGTTCTGTGACCATCCAGGAACTGCAGGTTGGAATCCCACTGAATCCGTGAAATTATCCTGGTCAGGATCTGCCTGACCCCTGATTTTGATTCATGTTCAGGGCTCTGTGACTATTTGGGAATTGCAGGTTGGAATCCCACTGAATCCATCAATTAGTGTGGTCAGGATCTGCTTGACCCCAGATTTTGATTTGTGTTTGGGGTTCTGTGACTATCTGGGAATTGCAGGTTGGAATCCCACTGAATCCATCAATTATTGTGGTCAGGATCTGCTTGACCCCAGATTCTGCTTCATGTTTGGGGTTCTGTGACCATGCAGGAATTGCAGGTTGGAATCCCACTGAATTAATGGAATTATCATGGTCAGGATCTGCTTGACCCCAGATTCTGATTCATGTTTAGGGCTCTGTGACCATCTGGGAATTACAGGTTGGAGTCTCACTGAATTCCTGGAATTATCATGGTCAGGATCTGCCTGATCCCAGATTTTGATTTGTGTTTGAGGTTCTGTGACTATCTGGGAATTGCAGGTTGGAATATCACTGAATTAATGGAATTATCATTAGGATCTGTCCAATCCCTGATTTTGATTCATGTCTGGGGTTCTGTGACCATCCAGGAGTTGCAGGTTGGAGTTTCACTGAATCCATCAGCTATTGTGGTCAGGACCTGCCTGATCCCAGATTTTGATCCATGTTTGGGGACCATCTGGGAATTTCAGGTTGGAGCCTCACTGAATCCATCAATTAGAGTGGTCAGGATCTGCCTGACCCTTGATTTTGATTCATGTTCAGCATTCTAGGACCACCAGGCAATTGCAAGTTGTAATCCCACTGAATCCATCAGTGACATGGATTTCAATTATTGTGGTCAGGATCTGCCTGATCCCATATTTTGATTTGTGTTTGGGGTTCTGTGACTATCTGGGAATTACAGGTTGGAGTCTCACTGAATTCCTGGAATTATCATGGTCAGGATCTGCTTGATCCCAGATTCTGATTCATGTTTGGGGTTCTATGACCATCCAGGAATTACAGGTTGGAGTCTCACTGAATTAATGGAATTATCATGGTCAGGATCTGCCTGATCCTAGATTTTGACTTATGTTTAGGGCTCTGTGACCATCCAGGAATTACAGGTTGGAGTCTCACTGAATTCCTGGAATTATCATGGTCAGGATCTGCTTGACCTCAGACTCTGATTCATGTTTAGGGCTCTGTGACCATGCAGGAATTGCAGGTTGGAGCCTCACTGAATCCATCAATTAGTGTGGTCAGGATCTGCCTGATCCCAGATTTTGATTTGTGTTTGGGGTTCTGTGACCATCCAGGAATTACAGGTTGGAGTCTCACTGAATCCATCAATTAATTGTGGTCAGGATCTGCTTGATCCCATATTTTGATTCATGTTCAGCATTCTGGGACCACCAGGCAATTACAGGCTCAAGTCTCACTGAATTCATGGAATTATCATTAGGACCTGTCCAATCCCAGCTTCTGATTCATGTTTAGGGCTCTGTGACCATCCAGGAATTACAGGTTGGAGCCTCACTGAATTCCTGGAATTATCATGGTCACGATCTGCCTGATCCCACCTTCTGATTCATGTTTAGGGCTCTGTGACCATCCAGGAATCACAAGCTGCAGCCTCACCAAACCCCAATGCCAACTTTGCATTTTTCCCACCTCCCCCCTCACCAAACCACCCCAAACCCTCCATCTGCCTCTCACCTCTAAACTCCATACTGGCAGCATCCTCCAGCAGCTCCTCCTTCATATTGCCCAGCGTGTCCACGATCATCTCCTTCATCTCCTCCTGCTTGCGGTTGGCGATGCCCATCAGCGACTCGTAGAGCTCGTTCTCCTTCCTGCGCGTGTACTCCAACCTCTTGGGGGTGATCTGCAGGTCCCTCTGCATGTCGAAGGCCTGGTTGATGAAAATGTTGAGGCAGCGCCCGTGAACCTCGCTCAGCCTCGTGGCTGCCTCCACCAGGTGCTGCTGCAGCACCTGCCTGGAGAAGGAGCTCAGCAGCCTCAGCTTCTCCAGCTGCTCCACCAGCATGGAGGAGCCGGGAGCGCCGCAGCCGCAGGGGCTGGAGGGGCTCAGGTACTCCAGATCCAGCAGCTGCAGGTGGAGCTGGGATTTGGTGTCCTTGGGGTGGGGTTTGGTGTCCTTGGGGTGGGATTTGGTGTCCTTGGGGTGGGGTTTAGGAGAGCTCAGCTCGCTGCCGGCCTCGGGGATTCGCAGGAAGAAGATGGGGAGGGAGAATTTTTGTTTGATTTGCCGAAGTTCTGCCTGGTCCGACGGGGACAGCTGGGGCTCGCTGATGGCAAAGGTGACAACGGGCAGCACCTGGTCCACAAACTCGGCCAGGGTGGATTCAGCTGACTGGAAGCCTCGGCATGGAGCCACCACGATGTCCACTTCCTGGGAAAAAGGAAAAAGGAGGAGGTTTGAGAGTCGTTCACACAGCAAAAAGCTTGAATTCTTCAAAGCAGATCTCAGCAAGGCTGATCCCTAACTCCAAATTCTTCATCTTGGACCAAATCCTGGGAGTTTTAGCCCAGTTTAGGACAAGGCTGATTCCTGGGCAACTCCAAATTCCTTATTTTGGACCAAATGCTTTGGAATTTTAGGACAAAACTTAGGACAAGCGTCCTGGGAAAGAGCCAGCAGGGGAATTTATTGAACAGGACCCTGGCAGTGCCACCCTGAACTCCCCATGGATCAGGGACAGTGGCAGTGCCACCCCAAACTCCCCATGGACCAGGGTAGGGACAATTTGGGAATTATTTTATCAGGCTGTAAATGTCACGCCCCACATGCCAGGGACAGTGGCAGTGCCATCTCAACCTCCCCACAGACCAGGGACAGTGGCAGTGCCATCCCCAGCACCCCAGGGACAATGGCAGTGCCACCCCAAGCTCCCCAGGGACAATGGCACGGCTACCCCCAGCACCCCTGAGACAGTGGCAGTGCCACCTCCAGCAACCCCAGGGACAATGGCAGTGCCACCCCCAGCACCTCAGGTACAGTGGCAGTGCCACCCCAATCTCCCCAGGGACAGTGCCACCCCAAGCTCCCTATGGACAGTGGCAGTGCCACCCCAAGCTCCCCAGAAACAATGGCAGTGCCACCTCCAGCACCCCAGGGACAATGGCAGTGCCACCCCAAGCTCCCTATGGACAATGGCAGTGCCACCCCCAGCACACCAGGGACAGTGACAGTGCCACTCCAAGCTCCCTATGGACAGTGGCAGTGCCACCCCAAGCTCCCCAGGGACANGGCTCAAGTCTCACTGAATTCATGGAATTATCATTAGGACCTGTCCAATCCCAGCTTCTGATTCATGTTTAGGGCTCTGTGACCATCCAGGAATTGCAGGTTGGAGTCTCACTGAATTCCTGGAATTATCATGGTCAGGATCTGCTTGACCCCAGACTCTGATTCATGTTTATGGTTCTGTGACCATGCAGGAATTGCAAGTTGGAGCCTCACTGAATCCATCAATTAATTGTGGTCAGGATCTGCTTGACCCCAGATTCTGATTCATGTTTAGGGCTCTGTGACTATCTGGGAATTGCAGGTTGGAATCCCACTGAATTAATGGAATTATCATGGTCAGGATCTACCTGATCCCACCTTTTGATTCATGTTTAGGGCTCTGTGACCATGCAGGAATTGCAGGTTGGAGCCTCACTGAATCCATCAATTATTGTGGTCAGGATCTGCTTGACCCCAGATTCTGATTCATGTTTGGGGTTCTATGACCATCCAGGAATTGCAGGTTGGAGTCTCACTGAATTAATGGAATTATCATGGTCAGGATCTGCCTGATCCCAGATTTTGATTTGTGTTTGGGGTTCTGTGACTATCTGGGAATTGCAGGTTGGAGTCTCACTGAAATAATGGAATTATCATGGTCAGGATCTGCCTGATCCCAGATTTTGATTTGTGTTTATGGTTCTGTGACCATGCAGGAATTGCAGGTTGGAGCCTCACTGAATCCATCAATTAGTGTGGTCAGGATCTGCTTGACCCCAGATTTTGATTCATGTTTGGGGTTCTGTGACTATCTGGGAATTGCAGGTTGGAGTCTCACTGAATTCCTGGAATTATCATGGTCAGGATCTGCCTGATCCCACCTTTTGATTCATGTTCAGGGCTCTGTGACCATGCAGGAATTGCAAGTTGGAGCCTCACTGAATCCATCAATTAGTGTGGTCAGGATCTGCCTGATCCCAGATTTTGATTTGTGTTTGGGGTTCTGTGACCATCTGGGAATTGCAGGTTGGAATATCACTGAATTCCTGGAATTATCATTAGGATCTGTCCAATCCCAGATTTTGATTCATGTTTGGGGTTCTGTGACTATCCAGGAGTTGCAGGTTGGAGTCTCACTGAATTCCTGCAATTATCATGGTCAGGATCTGCCTGATCCCAGATTTTGATTTGTGTTTGCGGTTCTGTGACTATCTGGGAATTGCAGGTTGGAGTCTCACTGAATTCATGGAATTATCATTAGGACCTGTCCGATCCCAGCTTCTGATTCATGTTTAGGGCTCTGTGACCATCCAGGAATTACAGGTTGGAGTCTCACTGAATTCCTGCAATTATCATGGTCAGGATCTGCCTGATCCCAGCTTCTGATTCATGTTTAGGGCTCTGTGACCATCCAGGAATCACAAGCTGCAGCCTCACCAAACCCCAATGCCAACTTTGCATTTTTCCCACCTCC